ATACATACCTACGAGTATATCACATGAATCGGATAATGAGGATTGTATTTAAAGAATATTAATTAGAATTCATTGGAAGTTTAAGATATTTATCAAAATAATTATTTAAAAATATAAAATAATTCAAATCTCCAAGTTTAAATGTAAATACCCATTATGATAAAGAAACAATTATATAACGATAATAATTTTTATATAATAATTGTGTTCTATATAGAGAAGAATTTATTAGGGGAAATAAGTAAGAGATTATTTTTAATCTTTTTAAAAAATAATTACAGTTAAAGTAAATATAAACAAAAGCAAAATAAAGAAAAAATATAAGTATATATTAGTTGATTCGTGGATAGTTATTTCATCATATCTAAAGTTAATCATTAATTAAGGTAAAGAAAACTAGGTTTTTATTTTGTTACAAATTATGGAAAAAATGTTCTTAATATTATAAATAAGTTTTATTATTTCATTGGTTTAACTTTTTACTTTATGACTTGAATAAAAATAATTAGTATAATGTTGTTTACGCTTTATTGTAATATGTTGTACAATGTATTATTGTTTTAGACTTAAGTATAAAATATAGTATATATATAAAACGATTTTTATCACTGATTTAAGAGTATATGTTTCTATTGTTCATCTCGAACACCGTAAAACTAAATGTTAAATGCAAAATATATAACTATTTTTATTATTTATTATGATCGTTCATCCTAAGTATAATCAAAACCCATGGATTTAATAAAAGTGTTATATAATACGTATATCTATAAAATTATCTAAAAAAAATGGAATTGCTCGATCTCACTCGATCTATAATTATTAAATTTATGGTTAATAAAGCCACTATTTTAACCAATTCCAAATTAAATATTTTAATTTCATTATGTTAATATGATTGAAAACTGCATAAAATTAAGCTAGATGTATGATGATTATTAAACCTATAAAATACATATGTTTAAGTTATAATTGAAAGATTTTTGAAATGCCACCGATGGGTGTCTTGTCTTATTTTGATTGTTTAAGCTAATTAGATATGCACAGCTTGTGTATGTATTGATGTATTACATATATTCTCAAACATCATACTATACAAATGAAAAACCAAGTATACGATGTACCTACCTATTATTTTATCCATCGACTATATTATTACATTTAATTGTTCCATTTATTTTCAATAGCGTTATAGTATGTTTTAAAATTATTTCGTTCTTTATTCAAATACAATTTATTATTTTTTTTTCTTATAAATAAATACGTCAGACATTAAAAAAGTTTATAGTCTTAAAGGATATGAATATACTAAAAAGACGCTAAAAAAATGTTAATCTTACCTTCCCTTTTGAACCTGATGGGCTCCATGGTTTAGTTTCACTACTTTGATATTGTGTCTGAGACATGTATTTGCGAGCATATTGCGTAGAAGCGTAGGCGACTTGATTGGACGTAACGATGATGAACAATATTCCTCATATGCGCAGTGTGTTTTTTACCGTATGATTAAAAGCATCAGTGTGTCTCCGGAAAAGAAATAATAAGAACGAAAACAATGCGCTCATGGAATATAATACCAGCCTCAGGGATTGGCCGTCCTTTATTTTATACTCAATACAGTAAAACTATGATTTTAAACCTTCAGTGGCGATGGGTGAGTAATGTTTTCACGGAAGATAAAAATCATGATCAAGTTTTTGTTTTAGCACTATTTAAACCCAAGATATTTTAATTGAGTCTTATTAAAAACACTTCCGTTGGTTAACCATAAGTATTAAATTATTGCGATAAGAAATATTAATTTTAATTGAAATATGTAAAGTTTATTTAAATTTTTGTTGTTGAACATTTTTGAATTTCAAATATGTGCAATTTTTGTGATAGCTTATAAGGTTTAAACTATATTTAGTTATTAAATATATTCTATATTATAATATAGAACTTTTAAAATGTAAGTTATTATGATATTGTTGTGTACAAATTATGTATGAGTATTGAGTAACATCTATAGACATACAATACATGTAGTAATTAAAATATGGATGTAACACATAGAGCATAATAAAAATGCTTAAAAATATATGATAGAGACATTTTTTTTCAACCCTTTGCAGAGGAATAAAAACAAATACATAACCAACGATATTTCATTTTAGGTAAATTAACTACGATAAATTTTCAATGACAAAATATCTTTACCTAAAATCACCTCCTACATAAAAGACAACATTTATGTTTACATGCCCTTTACATAAGCGAATTTATAGCAGCTCAAATGAGGTAAAAGAAAATCTGAACATTGTGTGTCAGGATATTGAAAAAATTTAGTTAAATTGGCTGTCAACTAAACATAATTTCTCTATAATTCAAGGCTATTGAATCCTATATAATGTCAATAAATTCTAATAAACATATGCACGTCTCGTATTGACACAGCCATAAATACACCAATATTATTTTTTTAATTTGTTTATTTTACAACTCAACAAATATGCTAGGTACCATTGTTCTATATATAACATAAAATACTAAAATATCAAGTAAAACTAAATATTAATACAATAGAGTTCAACGTCTTGGTAATGTGCGAAACGATTAGTTTATATAATCTTAGAAAAACACGAATAGATCAATAATTATATACTGGTTTTTAATTTCATATAACCTATAGCATTATTGTGAATAATTTTCAAACACCCAAGTAATAACAAGTAATAATACGTAAACCAATATCTTGTTCTATTTAGATTAAAAAAAAAATCTTTGAAAAAAGAATACTAAAAAATAATTTATAACAAGCCTCCGAGTAAATATCAATAATCTACCTATATCTGTACAGGTAGGCGTAAATTTATAATAATTAAAAGTTTTTTAAATGCATTGTTTTGAGGTATATTACATGAATATGTGTAATTTTTAATAATGATGTAGAGATTTCATTTTAAATTGACACAAAGATATAAAAATAAATTATCTTACTTATATCAATTTATTTTTTAAAAACTTTAATGTCAATAATTATGTTTATAATTATAGAATAGAGACTTTAGCAGGCAAAAATAATATGAAAATGATAATAAAATCTAAAGTGAATTCACCGAATCATTACTCTACTTCAAATTATTCGTAAACATTTAATAGTTATACGAGTACGTCATTGATGGGTTGTTATTTATTGTTTCCGTAAAATACATGTTGAAAATTATGTATTCATCAATTAAACTTAAGGTGCACGCGGATAGAGAAGACGGAAAAGAGTATTAATAATGAGTGATGCGCCGTTGTTGTGTCAACCGTTGCGATACGGATGAACAATAGGTGAATTTATTTGATTAATCATCTTCAAGGACTCGCGACAATAAAACATAATATAACGCGACCAGTACGGAATCGAAAAAATAAATCAAAGACGAGCATTTAAGTTGCAAAATTCTATTGCTCCGATCGCCGGAGGATATCGTTCGTCGTGGATGACGATGATCACTGTTGCAGCATATACACTGCGGAATCATCGTAAGAAATTGCATGTGCTCGATCGACAGACGTTTTATCGTATTTTCCTTCGTGCATAACCTACGCCACGTGGGAAAAGTTTCGGAAATCAGATGATCGTGTTATTTCGCGTCGGACCTGGTGGCAAGATTCGTGGGCGCGATAATCACAGAAGCGGTGGGGTACACGAACAATGGCTTAACTAGGATTTATTCACGGAAGGTTTTAGTAGTTGTATACAAAAAATATATTTTTAATAATGTTGCTCTTTATTCACAATTTAATAACATTAAATTAAAAATATATTTAAATTACGTCAACCCTAACCTTCCTAGTTTTGATCGCGAAATTGTCGTCTTTTCGGGAAAACACACGACTAAAAAAATCAGCGTTATTTTCTATTGGAAAAAAAAAACAATCAACGGATGCGGGGAGGGATCACAAGGTACATAAGATGTATAAAATTCTTAAGAGATCAGTAGCGCGATCATTGACCAGAAAGCGAGACTACGAGAAAACGAACGGGAGAGAGAGTGAGCGAGGAAAAGAGTGAAAGACTGGCATGGGGTGGGTTAGTTGAGAGTAATTTTTCGCCGGCCGCACGGGAAAACAGAAAAAACGCAGCGATCGATAAAGTACAAACGGACGGAGACGCGACGCGGGATCATCGGCGTGGATGGCGGCGGTGGTGGCCGTCAGTCGCGCGTGTCGTATAAAACCAACGTTATTAGTACCATCGTCATCACCGGTGTGGCCGCGGAAGGTTAAGGCGGCGCGGAGAGGGGAAACCGAAAATCGTGCACGTTGTGCGTTGAATCGACGGCCGCCATCAACTGTACGTTGTCGCCGGCCGCCACCGTCACCGCCGCCTCCGTTACCGCCGCCGCTGCAATCGATTTTGTCGGCGGCGCGCGGTCGTTGCACGGTTAGCTGCGTGTAACGGCCGCCGCCGCGGTCGAGTCCGTCGTCGTAACGGCTGCAGCAGCACCGCACGCACATACGGTCCGCGGCACGCGGCAGTGAAGTAGGGGGGCGCCGGCAACTGCGCAGCACCCCGACGCGCACGCAACAACCGCCGCCGCGGCACGACGCAGTACACGCGCAGCCGGACGGCAACGGACGCGCGAACCACCGCCGCCACCGCCGCCACCACCGCCTCCGTCCGGCCACCCGTTGTCGTTGTCGCCG